ACACTTGCTTGTGTCCATCAGTGGAAACAAGATTTATTTCCAATGACAGATGTCCGAGGTGTTACCCGCTTTGATTTGTAGCTAGAACGTTACTTAACTATATTAAATTATATATGCTTTTCTACTTCTCTAGAAATCAATCTTCCCTCTTTGGAAGGCACCTGAAAATTTTCCTAGGAACAGTATGGCCAGCAGGACCAGGGCAGTGACTGTCCCCCTGTCCCAGGCACTGCTGAGGCCACACCTCGAGTCCTGTGTCCAGCTGTGGGCCCCTCATGGCAAGAACTGGACATGGAGGTGCTGGGTCATGCCCAGAGAAGGGAGCAGAGCTGGGCAGGAGCTGGAGCACCAGGAGTAGCTGAGGGAGCTGGGGGAGCTCAGCTGCAGAAAAGGAGGCTCAGGAGGGACCTTCCCACTCTCCCCAAATAGCTGGAAGGAGGGTGCAGCCAGGTGGGGTCGGTCTCCCCAGGAACAGAAGGAGGGGAAATGGCCTCAGGTGGTCCCAAGGAAGATTTAGATTGGATATTAGGAATAATTGCTTCACCGAAAGGGTTGTAAAGTCCTGGCACAGCAGCCCAGAGAAGGGGCAGACTCACCATCCCTGGGGGATTTAAAAGTTGTGTTCATACAGCATTTGGGTACATGGGGTAATGAGGGACTTGGCAGTGCTGGGGGAACAGTTGGATTTGATGATCTTAAAAGTGTTTTCCAACCTGAATGATTGAATGATTCTATATAAAATTGAGAATGTTAATAAACATAATTTAATTTCCAACTAGAAACTGTCAATGTAATTGGCACATGTTGAAGCGTCTTCCTTCATGGATGAATTAGCACATGAAAAAATAGGGAATAAAAATAAGAAAAAGCAAAATACTTACAAAAATTAGGCATTTTAAATTAATATTAACCCGATTAAATCTTTTCTTGCTAAATTCACTTAGCCTGTAAATATTTTTCACAGATTGAAGCTATGTAATAGCAATATGAAATATATTTTATAATAGCAATAATTCCCAAAGAAAGGCATTGTTTTTGACAGCTCTGGCAGATGTTAGTTGGAATTATTAAAAACAGGCTTTTGTCATGCAAAGTTCCACAGAATCACAGAATATTCTGAGTTGGAAGGAATCCACAAGGATCATGGAGTCTGAGTCTTAAGTGAATAGTCCACACAGGGATCAAGCCCACAAAAAGTCGATGGTGTAGAAGTCACACTGAGTAAAACAAACCCTTGATGTACCTCAGCTGATTCTGAACAACATGCAGCACCAGGAATAAAATTAATCATGAAAATATTCTTAATAGAAAAATGGACTAGTTAAAATCAGAGCTGAAGCCCTATGCAAAGGTGAATTTGTCAGACATGAATTCTGGAAAACTGGGGAAGGGCAGATCTTAGTAATCCAACAGAGACCCCAAAAATATCCCAAACTCACCACAAGCAGGTGTAAAACGTGAATCTCTAAGAGCTTCCCACAGAAGGACCAAGCCTGAGGTGCCATAGGCTTGGTATTTTTAACAACATGCAAGTGCAGTTTGCTCAGCACAAAGCTCTGGGGGCAGGACACCTGGAAATGAGGGGCCCGTGTGACTGAACCAATCACAAGCTGCATGTGAGTAAATATTACATTAAAAATAAAGACATTTAGCAATGGCAGTGTATGGGATAAGGTATATACACTTGCTGAGCATCTTTAAAATATTGGGAAATTAAGAAATGTTAGAAGTGGCATGGATATTGTTGAATTGGAAATAAAAAGAAAGTTATCACCATGGTTCTTAGAAATCTCACATAATAGAAGCCTGCTGTCCCAGTGCAGGTCAAAAAATGGCAAGAATAATTCAGAAAACAGGCGTGACACACACACACACACACACACAAACTGCATGATGATTTTTTAGAAAAAAATCAAGCACGACTTGCAATATATCAAAATGTCAGCCATCTATTTTAAATTTGGGAATACAGTAAGTTCACTCAAAATACTTAAAAGATCATTCAGAAAGAGTGAAATGCAGTAGCAAAAATCTTACTCTAAACATTATATTAAAAATATCTTTGCTCTTTCTTCTGACAGATTGTTTTTACAAAGCCTTTTCCTTATTTCCTTTAAATTTTTAGGGATATAAAAAATAAAAAAGAAATTAATTTTTTTTTTTTAAAAGCAGTAAATAGTAAATCCTCCACACGTCCTTTCCTGGAAAGAAAAATTTTATAGGACCATGTAGAAATGCCAAGCTGTTAGAATTTTCCAACCTGAAGCAACCTGAAGCTGTGCCTGGGTGCACAGAAAGATCAGCAGACCCTTCAAATGACCTCGTTCTTCCCAGGATTTTAGAGGTGACAACGAAGCAGCAGCATCCCAGCAGCTGGACAAGGCAGTGGGATGCAGCACAGGAAGGGTTACAGCACAAACCCTTCCCAGCCTTCTCCAGCCCAGGGCTGGGACTCTGCTTCTCTTTCCCCCAATGTGCTCTAGTACCTCAAGCACAAAAGGAAAAAAAAATCCTTTGCCTGAAACTATTAATTTAAAATTTATAGCATAATTTTGCTTTATGATCTTAAGTAACTGAGATATGAAAAGCAAAAACAAAATCCTAAGGACTGCCAAGACTAATTAAAAGAAGAGTTCTGTCATCTAACTTCTGTAATGACACCTAACCTGCTACAGGTTTTAAAAGATGCAGATAAACTTCACTGTGGATTTTACAGTGTCTGTCTTTCTTTAACATGAACTGTTCAACTAATTAGATTGCTCTACAATGCTAGAGACTTGAAGAATTGTAATTGAATTAACCAGCAGGTTATTCTGTGAGTATGAGGAATCTACCAACACTTTATTTTTGTTAAACTACAGCTTTGTCTGGTGGAAATTGATTAAGCGCATATAATGGCTCCCTTTTAAAACTTCCTTTTTCACATGATAAGGAAGCTTCCAGTTATGAACTGGATATGAAATTGCCAACTGTATCATACCACAATGAAAGGAACTAAAACATTCAGATGTGGACTATGAATGGAAAAAAGCCAAACTTTTATCTAGTGTGATTATAAACTGAAATGTTCAAGATGACTTTCAATAAATACTATTTCTCACGTGAAGAAATAAGATTATAACAGTCTGTTATGTACTACATCATTCTAGAAACACATTGAAAAAATGAACATAAATCAAAGAAGCAATTACAAAACAGCTGAATAGGACAAATAGGATGTATAAACACTCTACTTCTTTTTTTTTTTTATTTTATTTTCTCCTTGGTAAAGTAGCATATTTTAATCCGGTTACAATAAAATTACCACAGGATATTAAAAAAAAAAAAAAACAAGAAAGTATTTAGAAAATTTTATATATATACATTTGCTCAAAAATTCTATTATGTAAACATTAGCATAGCAAGTTAAAATAATATTAGTTTATTAACACTTATGTGAATACTGTACATATATATGTTTAATTAATAATATCTTTTCTACAGTTTAATAGTAACAACAAAAAAATCCCTCTCCTAAGTCAAAAGGGAAATTCAGCTTCTTCAGTTGCCAACAGGTTTGGTCCCACATGCAAGACACCGAGTTCTTCATCTCAGTGTTAACTAAGAACAGCACAGCCTTTGAAATACAGAACTGGCTTTTCAACCACACTTATATTTTTATAATGTTTTGTGTCTTAAATGATTAATACTCAAAAAAACCACTTACCACATTTTAATTATTGTCATGGCATGGAGATAATTTCTGAAATCTTGTTAAAGGAACTCATTCCCCTACAGGGAAGTGCAATAAATTCTGTTTTGATGTGATAAAAAACAGTATTTTTTAAAGTCCAGTTATTTGCAGCAATTTGTAAATTTGTAAAAGTCATTCCTTTCTTAACATTTCAGTGCTGTTGTCTAGAATAAATTCATGCCATTATGAAAAAACTAAGCCATTAATATTGATTAGAAGTATGCTCTCATTATTTTTGTAGAAGGAATTTATAAATAATCTAAATTCTCTGTAACTGGATCATAAAAGTACAGTTCGTGTAGAGTGAGAAATAAATGAAATGTAGTGTCACACCACCATAGAACAAGTGGTTTATCCTCCCTTCAATATGTGATACACAAAGCAGCTTAATTGATATTTTAAAATATATTTTGTATTTCATATGGATATTGTCCTGTAGTAAAGTGTTTCTTTGAATACAGAATGCTATGAAACTATCAAACTTACAAAATAATAATTAAGTTAATATTTCATGTGGTGCAGGGTGCTGACTGAAATACCCTAAGCTACAGAAAATGAAGGAGAGACATCCTTTGCTTTCTTGAATTGTTTAATCACTTTTCCAGAAGTGACTTAAGATCCTATTCAGAAGCATTACTGTTGTTTCTAAGGAGAAAAATGTGGTTTTGTGTGGAAAAGGTTTCTTTTCATATATCCTAGAGTTTCAGTTGGAAGAGTCCAAGGCTGATTCCAAGATTTGCAAGGGTGTATTGCAGCAGGATTTGATTAAAAAGTTGTGGTTTTTTTCTTTTAAACAGCTGTTCCACAGGTTTCTCATTGTCATTTCAAGCAGGTCATTGTATTTCTGTCCACAGGTATGAATTATCTGTTCTCAGAATTCCAAGACACTAGATGAAAAATACTTTGGGGTAGGGGGTTTGAACCTTTGAAATGGCATGGAACTTCTAGCAGAACTGAAATCCTTGCATTCTTTGAAGGAAAAAAGAATGACATCAATATCAGAAAGCACCAATTACGGATTCTGGTACAAAATACCAGGTTCTTAAACATTAATATGTCCTGGCAGAAGCATCATTAGTTCACTGGGGGTTCACCAAATCTCATTTATTATAAGCTTGCTGCTCTGAGTCAGTCAACCCCATTGTTAGTGGGTTTGTATTAATTAATTAGACAGCTACCATGTAGATATTATTCTGTACAATAAACTACGACTGTTACCAAAAAAAAGCAAACAAAAAAATCCACCTTAGCAATAGGTCACAATTTCGAGCCAGTAATCTTTAATACCATTCTGTTCTTTCTCTAAATGCTTGTATTAATTCAATCAAAATGGCTTATGACTTGCAGTAGATTCTGTAAGGTAGTATAATTTGATTACAACTATCACATCAACAATATATTCCATTAAAAAGACTGGCTTTGAAATTATTATCTTCCTAAGAATATGTGACTTAATGGAGACATCAATTTAAGCCTTTATAGCTATGTCAATATCCTGGTTCATATAAACCTTAGAGATTTATTATTATTATTATTATTGAGAACTTAGATTTAATTTGCAAAAGCCAAGTCGACACATTGCATTCTCTATAATGAATGAGAGAATCTAAATAAATGAGATTCTGAAAAACCACAATCTGTGAATACTGATCGAGACATCTGCAAGAGCTGCAAGAGCTCTGCCTGCTCTCTCTGTTTCTTAGGGAAGGGCTCATGGTGGAGGTGACTGGACAACAGCACTGCAGTAGAAGCTGTGCCACTTTTTTACAGTTTATTTTGAACAGTCACGAAAGGACGCAGAGGAGAAGCCCTGGATCTAAAGACAAAGCAGGAATGAAATGCAAACAAGACCACAAATTGCTCTAGGCTGGTTCTACCAGCCAGGAACAGCTCCAGGGCCCAGCCTGTCCCAAGGCCTCTGTCCTGGGATTACAGCACTAGCCACTGGTGCAGAACGGGCACTAACGAATTAATTAATAATTCATTAGTAACGAACTCATTGTGAGCTGCTCTCTGAGCATGGATTGGGGGTTTAAGAGCTGTGAATCAGCCAAAGGAAATTTAGAGCTGTACAAAATTTTAACTGCATGGAATTGGGTGAACAGGAGAGCTGATAAAACCTTTTCACTGGCAGAGTCATTGTCACACTTACAGCTACTTCAGATGAACAATGGAACTGCTTGGGATTCTTAATAGCAACTGGTCAACCTTCTTCAAGAGGCTTTGCTGGTTCTGGTGAATGAACAGAAGTGGGATTGTAAGAGATACAGGATTTTAGACAGGGCCTTTCCGAATGTCTTGAGGCAGTAAAAATTTGGGCGTTCCTGTCAGCAGGCCCCTGGTGGCACTCATGCAGGTACCTCTGTAGCCCTCAACATAACCAGGGGTATAAAGTGGGAATGCCACCTTGTGAAGAAAGGCCTTCATCTGATTATTTCCTGATTTTAGAGAAACCACAGCTGAGCTTTTAAATGGATTAGTAATGCACCCATTATGGTATCTTGTATCACCAAGTGAACATTGTTTGCAGACTGTAATCTTAGCAGCTAAATTCAGCTAAAATTAACAAAGAGCAATTTGTACACGGTAAACAAGTTTAGTATTTTTATAAGATCTACATACGTACTTTAAAAAATTACAAGAAGCAAGATTATCAGGAATGAAATAATTTTAAGAGCCAAATGCAGATACAAAAAATTCCTTTTAAACAACTAAAAAGAAATTCAGTCTGCAGTAAATGAAATTTCTTACCATTTGCAGCTTGCTGAATAAGTACTTGAATCTGTGAATTATTTCTTGAAAATGAATAGAGCTTCATGTAACAGATACATCACAAAGGTTTCCACACAGTGTTTTCTTTCAAATTTACTTGCAATTCAGTGTTAGTACATGTGCCATATTTCTACTAACCAAGTCTCCACTTTCTGAAAAATGAGTTAAAATTGTTTCAAAGTGAGACCACCATTATAGCTACTTTTCTTTCCAACAAAGACAAATTAAACCATTAGCAGTGCATCAGGCTGAAGAGTTTGGAGAAGCTACTTAACTGCCAATCTACTCACTTTCCTTTCTTCTTAAGTGTCACACTGTAACTAACACAAAACACCAACAGTAATTAATCTGTTAATGAACACACAGCAGCGAGCTCCCAGGCTGGCCTTTGGGCTTTTCTCTTTGTCTGTGTGGTAACTGAGACCTTTTACTGACTGGCAAGCATTGTTCCATTTCTGTGACATGATTTTACTTGGTGGTATTTCACCTACTGAAATTTCTGACCTGGAGATGAATCCTACTCCTCTCTGCCACATTTTGCAGTGGAGTGCAATCTAAAGCTCCATATTTCAGTGGTGGGAGTCCAGCTCGAGGGGCTCAGGCTCAGGTTTGCTGATTACTCACTGTGGGTAACAAAGCCCTTCTCACCTGAGAGGTGCCACCGAAAATGACTGACCTGCCTGAACAGCACTCGCTGCTCACAGCAATGCAGAACACAAGCTCCAGTTTGCTGCAACTTTAGTGAAGCACTGAGGTACAAAGTCTGCTATGCATCATCAGCTTGTTTTTTCCTGGAGAATAAGATGTAAAAATTTAATATAATGAAGGGAGAATAAAATTACAAGATACATCAATTTAAGTAACGTTATCCAAAGAAACTTCTGAGAGGAAAGATGTTCTTACATAAAGGAAAACCAGAACACAATTGATAGGAAATTTGAACATACACTGCTTAAACTTAATGAAGAGAAGAAGATAGCTAAACCATAATTAACTGCCTACGGCAGTGCAGCTAATGGATACTGAACTGGATTCCAGTTAATCCATGTCAGGACTTCCATCACTTGTAACAATTCTTGACAATTTTTTAGTTACTCTTACAGTTGTAGCATTACAAATTACATTTCAATAAGAGGTGATGGGTAACAGGCACTTTCATTACAGGCAATTTTTAAAGTATCACCATGTGAAGGATTTTACAAAATCAGATTAAGAATTCCACTCTGTTAATTCCACTCTCTGTTAATGATGGACTGCTCTGTAACATAAGCAACAAATTAATAACTCAATATAATCCAAGACTTCAAAGCACTGTTTTGTATCATGCTAATTTTGTATATCCATGTGGTGGTTTGTAGAAATTAATAATATTGCACCTGCCTTACAGAAGACTGAAATTTCTCTAAAAAAATTATTACATTCTCCGATTTTAAAGAATTACTTCCCACAAATGAATGCTATTGAGAATATCTAACTAGAAATGTACAAAAGCTATTTTTCCACCTGTAATTTTTCTCATCATCTACACTGTCAAGTTTTTAAAAAACCTTTGTGTGTCAGAGGTTTACAATAAGAAAAACAAAACAACCCAGTCTTTCTATTTACAAAAGGTAATAAATTAGTGAGGTTCTTTTAAGCACATCCTTCTGACATATTAAGTAAAATCATAATGGTTCTTCTAAGGAAAAAAAAATTGTCTTAACGTGAACCCCATGTCTCTCTGGAACAGAAAACTGTACATGGAAAAAGGGACAACATAATACAAACAAGGAATTCATTGTGACAGGACTTCAGAGGAACAAAGGAGAATTTGTGCAGTGCAGCTTTACAAAACAAAGGAAATGCCGATCAGTTTGCTGAGCTCTCGTGAAGAGCCCTCATATTCTTTTGAGAAAGTGATTACTGCCTTCCAAAGTAGTTAATCAGGATATGACCCTTGGTAATGAATGTCTCTTTTCAGGATTTAAGTTGATGCAGCTGTAGTCTCTTCAGGAGCTTAAATTATAAATATAGGCTAGGAAGGAACCACAGAACAACTTGAAGTGTGTGCTGCCCGTAGTGGCAACTCAGGAGAAGGGTCAGAGGTCGCCACTCTGAGGCTCCAGGCTCCGGGGCTCCCTTGGGTGGCCACGGGACAGTTTGGGGAAGCGGGTGGTCACTTTCGAGCGATTGCTTTTGCTCACTGCTTCTCCAGAGGGTGGGATATCACTAGGGAGACAAAAAATAAACACAGAACAGCTAATTTATGTTACATGTAAATTGTTGTGTAGTTATTTCCAACATGAAAAAAGCGGATGTTATGAGAGCCTGGCACATGACTGTGAAGTACAGCACACATCTTCGACATCACGGAATTGCATTCTTTCCACTGCTGTCTCAAGTGGGAATTACAAAATGGGCTCTTTCAGAAATGAGAACTAGTAGAACTTTCAATACTTTATGGAAGATTGCAAGTTACAGAATAAAAGCGGATCTCTATGAGTTGCAGTTCAGAAATGGTGGGAAAAGCATTTTGAAGTGATAAAAGTACAAGCAAAATAGACAAGAGCTTGGATGATGCTCAATTAACAATCCTCTAGTCATGGATGGATGTATCAGTACATGATGAAGTACATTGGTAATACATCCCTGAATTCTTCACTCTCCTGAACCACAACATACTGCAGTCTTACATGAATGAGCCTTTTGCAAAAGACCCTGAGAAGTACATTATATTCAAAGACAAGCAGTAACAGAAAATTCCAGCTTACCTAGGTGATATTCAGGCTATAGACTCCTCGGAAAACTACAGTATAAAGGGATAGCATTGTACTTTTGCCATTCTTTTACAGGACTCCACATGGTTTTTAATTAAACTGCTTACACAGAGATCAATAAATAGAACTAAGTTTTGCATTTAGCAACTCAAGTAAGCAATAAAATTCCACAGCACACAAAGCCAAGCTTATTTTCATAAGTTAAGAACCCCAACCTTATAATACTTATCTTCAGAATGTGATAACAAGTCCAGAAAGGAGAAGTTGCTCATCTGCACTTCTGGCCATATTAAACAAACAAAGATATATTTGAAAACAATCCCCCCAGTCCTCTGTGCAGTTCCTTTTCCTGCAGAGTGACCTTCCTCACACACAGGCCAGTCCCTCCCTCCAGCCACAGGCACTCAGGCCCCACCGAGGTGTTTGGAGCACCCACGTGGGAGAGATGTCAGCAAAGTCAAAGCCTTGAACGAGTCCTGGATTGGCTGGGAAATTCACTTGCAGGCAGCAGAGCACTCCTGCAGGAAAGGGCACCTGTCCTGCCTGGCCATTGCTGCAGAACTGCAGTGCAAGCACAGCCACCCCCACAGAGGGAAGAGAAAAAAAACAGTATGGAAAAGTTATGTTCAATTCAGATGCTAAGCAACAGAAAACAAAGTTTTGTGGGGTTTTTTAATGGCAGAGTATTTAACTGGTCTAAATTTCTAAGCAGAAAACTCGGAAATAGCTTTAGTTAAAATAATAAAGGATTTTCCTAAATCAAGATTCACCATATTCCTATTATAGTATTTAGTCTTCCAAGGTAACTAAGAAGTCCTTTGTGTGAAAAAATGCATAAAATACCTGTGGCATACATCCTCCTCCTCTTCAATAACCTGATTAACAAGTTAGATCTTTAATACCTTATTTTCCTTGTCACTAAAATACAAAGTCTAAAAATTAATTTAGCCTATGTTATTAATTCTAGGTAGCCAACGATAATTGGACTTCCAACTGTGGCCCTATGATTTCCTATTCTAAAACTCAGCAATGCTATCTAAGTTGCTGTAGAGAATTCTGATCATGTGAATCCAATTTCAGCTGTGCTCATTACCATGGATTTCTTTTAGTAACATGAATATTATTACTCATAATTTTTATACTATTTATAAAATTGAGCAATGCAGTGTTGATAATATAATGCTTGTAAAAGAGAGCATGTGACATTGGCTTCAGTGAGTTGTGATTTTGTTTTAAGATATGTATTTTTCAGAACATGTAAAATAATCTAAATATCAAATATACAATGGAATAAAATTAAATGTTCACCTCATTGGCTTTGCTCAATCTAAAACGTGTTAATTCACCAGCACAATGGCCACTGCTGGCAGAGTTTGGCAGCGTGAGGCACACAGGAATCCTTGGCAGGTACAAGGTGGTTTACCCTGCAGCAGAGAGCACGAGCACAGTGCAATTACTGTAATTTGGTGATTGCTCTATGGAAAGCACATTTCAATGCACAAGCTCCTCCTGCTGGCATGTCCCCAAAACGACATCAGTGCCAGCCCAATGGAGCAAAGCTGTTCAGAGGGAAAAGGGCAAAAGGGGCAGAAGGAGTTCCCCTAAAATGAAGAGAGATTAATTAATTTCAGTCTGCCCTACCAGGCAGGGCTGAGGTAATCAGGTCGTTTAGGGTAATTAAATGAACACCAATGTCTGTAAGCAAAGGACAGAAATGGCAAGTAATTCTGCTAATTTAGATGATGCTACTCCACAACATGATAATTCTAATAACTAAATTAGAGATTAATTTATCTTAAATGTCTTAGCTAATTTTTATAATGACAATCTAAGACACATCATTATCTAATGTAGGTTTACAGAAATCAATGTATATCTGAGGAATTACATCTTCATGCATCCAGCATGAAAAGAAAACTGGAGCTGAAATTGAATTGATCAACTTCCATGGAAACAGATGTTCTATGAGGGAAAAAGTTTCAAGTATTAAAATAAGAGTCATAAATTTAAGAGTCTCTCAGTCCCTTTTCATCCTCCCTTTTTCCAAACCTGATGGGACAACCACCCATCTCACTTGCCTGCTTTGGCTCTGGCTTTTTTACCAAAATGACCAACCCCCTCCAAAATACATGGTAATAAAGTAGGAGGAAAAGATTAATCTCCCATCTCTTCTGCCTCCTGTTATTAGATTTAATAATTTATTTCTGGCCTAGAGGTTGAATGATATCTATACAGTCTCTGGCATTAAACAAGACACTTTCTAAATGTACTGATAATTCAACAGGTCAAATATTCCACAAACTCTTGGGCAGAGGTATAAGACCTTAAAATTATTCTGACTGTATTTCTGGCAAATGCACATCAAGATGGAATTGAGACAAATCTTTTTGCCACCAAGTGTTTGGCATGGAGAAGGAAGAAAAAGCCATTACCTACAAGGTTTGCAAATCCTCTCATTTGTCACATTCAGTAAAATTAGTCCCTAGATTAATTTGGGGGGAGGCTGAGTTAGGGTCCACGTCTAGTTGATTGTTTAACTCAGACTAAAATACAAATTTAAAATACCTAAATCTAAACCGGGAGTAACTGTACTGCAGTAACTCACCCAGCTCCTCCAAGTCCCCGAGGTAAGTTTGCAATTTGTATGAGCCTACACCTGTCCCAGCTGCACCTGTTTGGCTTTAATACAACATTCTGCTTTTCGTTCTATTCCTTCTGAGCCACAGAAGCCTTAGCAGGGTCCAATTTTCCAGGCCGAGCCTGGCAGGCAGAGAGGCTGGCCAGGCTCTGCCCTGTTCAGCAGTGGAATGTCCACCTATTAAAGGCTCAAGTTCTTTTCTACATTCTCACCTTGGCCCATTCTGAAGAAAAAAGCAACCTGCTGAGGCAATCAATTCCTCCTTCCCACGGGTCATTGTTTAGCTTTTAAGCATTCCTGATTGATCTGCCCAGCGTTTGTTTGGCAAACGATTCCGTTTCATTGATTTTGTCTTGGTGTCAAGTTCTGCCTGAGGTGCATCTATAGAAAATAGCTTAAAATAACCGGTCCTTTTCATCAGCTGCTGGTTTATTCATACCCTTGATTTATTGCTCTCCCTGTATCCAAATGTAAACTGTATTTTCTGGGATTTTCTTTACACACGTAGTACATGGAACTGCAGTATTTTCTTGTGAGCATTTACATGAAGAAATTGATTTCCCATCTCATTGCCTATTCTTCAGGATAAAATTAGAGGGAGACGTTTCCGATAAAAATAGTATAACCTATCTGCAATTGGAAATACTTTTGTATCAGCCAGAGATCAGAGAACAGAAGTAATAAGCACATCTTGGGAGTGTAGCAAAGCTCAGGATCTGGCTTTTCATGTATCTATCTATAGATCTATCTCACACGTAAATGCCTCTCTGGAGACATTCATCATTCTAGTTTTACTTGAGTTATATTAAACACACCTCATGAAAAAAGACATTCACTGCCAGATAAATCTGGTGACTTTTGCCAGCTTCTTGTGTTATTAATTCTTTGTTAGTCATTATAATAATCTAATTCTGGTTATAACCTCAACACTTAATGTGGTGCTCAGGTGGCAGCTCCTAAAAAAGGTCCTGTTAAGCAATGCCCAGACCATATCAGGAGATCCTTATTAGACAATTGAGAACTAATTCTGACTTGACAATGCAACATATCTCAGCACCTTCTGCCAATTCAAATCAGATGACACCTGTTGAGTGGCATTATTAACTAAGATTCTAAATTCATCAAACCATTTCACATTCTGTATTAATTCCTGCTTTGCAGGCAACTGGGTAAAATCCTTGTTTCCAGTTGGTGAAGTGTAAAAATAATTGGAGACACATTTCCTGCCACTGCTCTCAATTCTGTAGAAATTAAATATAATTATTAATAAGAAACTGTGATCTCCATTTATTAATACAAATGTCTGATCTGGATGTTTAAAGAGTCAGTTATTAACAGAAGAGATAGAAAAAGAATCCCTCTACAGTACACTTCAACACTGAAAATCCTGAAGACACTATTAGAGCAAAGTTGTCACGTTACAACTGAATAATCTTTTCCCATCAAAATTAGATCTGAAATGAAATTTCAAGAAATAAAAATCATTAATTCTAATACTCTGTCCAATCATTTGGTTAATGTACAGCTCCTACTTACACACACACACTTCTACACTCATGACGTATTTGATCTCTTCTTGCAGTGAAATAATGACACAAAATCGTTTTTCTATTTGTTAAGATTTGAATTACCCTGACTTGAACATTCACATGCTACAATTCAGTTTCCATAACAGCATGAAGACTTTTGTCATTATCTGCATAGTTATTTGGTTTTTTTCTGTAAACCATGACACTGTATGTAACTCTGATGACACAACATTTCCCCCCACTAACTTAATTTTGAAGTTGGCATAACAAGATAGTTCTATAAGT